ATAATGAGTCTATATATTTAAAATAAAGTCTTATAGATTTTTAAGACTCAGGAGTCTTAAAATCTAAAAAGACAATGATAGCATTTTCATTTGAGGATGCTAATGTGAACATTTTAAGGAAATGTAACAATGTTTAGGAAATAACCATATCAAAATGACAGTTGCATAAGTGACTTGTATATGGACTATGTATGGGCTTCTCCTAGACATTGGAAAAGACCAAGGAAAGTTATTTGACTTTTAACTTTCATTGTATACATATACCAAGCTCTTCTTGGGTGTCAGAACTTCATAATTTAATTTTTAAAAATGAGCAACTATTTTTAGTAGAGATGGGGTTTCACCATGATGGCCAAGCTGATTGAACTCCTGACCTCAAGCGATCTACCCGCCTTGACCTCCCAAAGTGCTAGGATTACTGGGCTTGGTGGTGAGCACCTGTAATCTGAGCTACTCGGGAGGCTGAAGCAGGAGAATTGCTTGAATCCTGGGGATGAAGGTTGCAGTGAGCCGAGATCATGCCACTGGACTCCTGGCTGGGCCACAGAGTGAGACTCCATCTCAAAAAAAAAAAAAAAGAAAGAAAAAAGCAACGATGTGGATTCTAAACTCCATGAAAAACAAGTTCTGCTCTACTTCTTTAACTCCTACAGAGTCTAATAGTGATATGCACATCTCACTATATAAATTTATTGTGAACAAAGAAACATACTTTTGTTCAACCTTTTTTTAAAAACAATAGAAATGGCGTCTCACTATGTTGACCAGGCTGGTCTCAAACTCCTAGCCTCAAGTGATCTTCCCATCTCGACATCCCAAAGTGCTGGGATTACAGGCCTGAGTCACCACGGCCAGCCATGTTCAACCTTTTAATAGAAATTTTAATCCATTTATATGCTTTTTGTAATTGCTGATATATTTATACATATATATGCCATTTTGTTTTGTTTTTTATTTACTATGCTTTTTCTTTACTTTATTTTCTCCTTTCTTGTATTCTGTATTTTGTCAGTGGATATAATAGTTATATACAGTTCAAGTACTTCAGTCTGTATATTAACAGCAACATTCAACAGATGCTTTTCAGATGCAACTGTATACAGTATGCTTGTGTGTTTGTTTATGTGTATAAGAGAAAGAGGCCAGGTGCAGTGGCTCACACATGTAATCCCAGCAATTTGGGAGGCCAAGGTGGGCGGATCACTTGAGGTCAGGAGTTTGAGACCAGCCTGGCCAAAATGGTGAAACTCCATATCTACTAAAAATACAAAAAAGAAAGAAGAAAGAGAGGGAGGAAAGAAAGAAAGAAAGAAAGAAAGAAAGAAAGAAAGAAAGAAAGAAAGAAAGAAAGAAAGAAAGAAAGAAAGAAAGAAAGAAAGAAAGAAAGGAGAGAGAAAGAGAGAGAGAGAAAGAAGAAAGAAAGAAAGAAAAACATTTAGCCTGGCATGGTGGCACATGCCTGTAGTCCCAGCTACCGGGGAGTCTGAGGCAGGAGAATTTTTGAACCCTGGAGGCAGAGGTTGCAATGAGCCGAGGTGGCATCACTGTACTCCAACCTGGGCAACAAAGTGAGTGAAACTTCATCTCAAAAAATAAAAAATAATTAAAAAAACAAAGAGATTTTGTGAATGTGTAAGTGTAATATGCCTGTTTTAGAATACACCAGTTAAAATAAAAACATTTAACAATTTTTGTGGGTGTCATAGTTCATTGTGTATGGTAGACATTTCGCATTCACAGTTTGATGCTTGAGATTTTGACTGATTTCAAGAAACTTCACAGTTGTATGCCATAAAAAACATACATTTAAACACTGACCTATGACGTGATGAGGAATGCGTCACTTAACTAATGAGTCAGGCGAAACACTTAGGATAGTTATCTCATTTCAACCTTTTTTTTATACATTTTGCAGTAGCTCTGAAAAAATTACGTTTATTCAGTTTGTATGAAGCAGATTATATGCTAGATTGAAATTGGTAACTTTACAGATTTGTGAAGGTTTTACAATGGATGGTTATGAAATACAAAGGGCCTATATATACTCTGTAAGGAAAAGAGCAGTATTGCTTGCTGAAGACTTTCCCACAGAATTTTTTTTTAATTAAAAATAAAGTCTCTAGTTATATGTTATTTTTGATGCATACAATTTTATTTGCTCTATAAACATCACAATAATATTTTATATATTCTGTTTTGTATATAATTAAGAGCAAATGGAAGAATGCATTTATAATATACAGATCACAAATATGCCAGTCAGGAGCACTTTTTTGTTTGATTTTGAACTACTGGAAACACAGAAATAAAACAGTTTAAATCAGAATTGATAGAACCTAGCAAGTAAAAATGTTCGATTTCCTATCAATGTTGACCAACACGAGGTACACATAGATGACGTTGAGTGTTAGAAAACTAGCTAATTATTATATATCTTTAATTAGCAAGTAAGAAAAATCGCTAAATGATGAACATCCTTTACTAGGTTGGCAGATAATTATAATATTAATGAGAACATTTTATCATCGGTCCTTAAGCACATGCAGGCAACTCAGAAAGTTTCACTGTAATTTGAAAGTTCCTTTGGATCTCAGAAATTTGGTGCTTAGAAACATCAACCAGAAATGTTTTAGTTTAATAATGTCTGCACAACTAGCAGAATACTTTCCCCCTACTTTTAGATTCGATGATCATGTTATGTGAATTTACATTTTACTTCCATTTCACTTGCCATAAGAACCTTTATGAATAGTTTTATACTTTGGATATTTAAAGTAGGGTTTTTGTTTGTTTTGGATTTGTTTTGTTTTGAGACGGAGTCTTGCTCTGTCGAGTGTAACTCACTCTAGGGTGGATTTTTACATCTGCAATATAAAATCAAGCTGATAACAACAAAGAATGTTGGCTCAAAAAAAAAAAAAAAAAACCTTTACATAATGACAGGCATTTGCAGGTGAAAATCCAGTCCACATCAAACTTTGTGAAAGACAAAAGGAACTCGCAGTAGTCAGGAACTGTTTGCAAATATTTTGGTAGTTAAAATTACCCTCTTGCTTTTTCTCCTATGGCACTTCTTTCTCCAAAGGGGCTGGAGCCATTATCTTGCTAGCAGTTTAAACCAGTGGTCTGATTTTCGAGGCAAATTTATAATTCTTTTAGTTTTGCTTGGCTTTTATGAATGAGCTCTGTAGGAAAACTGAGGTTCTTTGTGGCACGTACATTTGACAAGTCATTTCTTACTTCTGATATTGCTAGGTAGAATAGAGAGTGATTTGAGGAGTCAAGATGAGTCACAGAGGAAGATTTTTTTTCCACTCACCTTACCATCATACTGTGCATTTCTGCATCTATTTAAAAATTAACTTGTGACCCCTAGTAATAGTCCATTCTCAGTCACGCACATAGCTTCCCTTTAAGACTGTTAATAACTTTTCGCCACAGAAGTGATTTTGACTTGCTCAGATGGACAGGTTAAGGGACTCCGAGGAATATCAGGTTAGTTTCAGCCTTTCAATAGAGCCCAAATGGAGTAAATATGTTTGGGACTATGTTTGCAACTCTGCATGCCTTGAGTACATCTCTTTTAAAATTGATTATAAAGTTATCCGGGATACACTGGGATTTAATGGAGAACTTTTCTGGGGTAAGTTTTTAAAAGTTATTTGAGAAATGCTTGAGAGACCACTATCCTTTCATATTTGTCATTTGCATCCTGGCAGTAGCTTTGGACTACTTACACAAGTGACAACAAATAATGTTAATTCCTAGTGATTTCCTTAGGTATTCACTCTGAATTGTTAAAATTTTATTCTGTTTTTCTAACTTTGGCTATAACCTGCAAGGCATGATTGTGTTAGGATGTAAGAGTAATTTTCTGGAAATTCTTGGTAATGTGTTCATTTGTTCTTTAATGATATTAAATTATCACAAATTAGCGGTTAGGCTAGTTTAATTCAGATAATAAAAATCATGAAAAGTTATAAATAGGAGTCTGTGTTTCTATGTATATCTGTGTATAGAAATTGTTCAAATTAAAAATGAAGAAATATGGTTTTAAAAATACGCAAAATGTCAGACAACTAAATAATTTGTAATAAGCCTTTTAATGCTATTATAATATAAATTACAGTTCATACCAGCAGAATCCATATATAACAAAATAACTTATGAACTTAATCAAGCTGTGAACTTTTTTCTTTAGAGTTATACTGCCTATAAAATTACATCTTTTTTTTCCTTCCACAACCGGTACATTATAAATATAAAATATGCTAAGATTTTATTAAAGCCTATAGTTACTGTATCTATTTAAAATATCAATAAAACCAATAATACATATTTCTATTTGGTGTTATTTTAAATATTCTCAGCAAAAATTAAAGTGATGAAGTAGAAATAAAACAAAATCTTAATATTTTAAAAATGAGAACGATTAAGTATTATTTGATGTTAGTTTGAAAATTTGTAAGTATTCAATAATTAATAATAGAACTCTAATTATTTTTATAGTAACTTTTCACTCAACATTTAAAAACACGTTATTATTTTTACAGTATCCTTGATAATTCCCTCGGCATAGATATTACCAACTACATTTAGGTATGAAAGATTAAAATGATCTTACCAATATCACAACATTAAGGATGAAGCTAAAATTAATAGCACAGATTTTCTTCTTTCCCAACAAATAACTTAGCTGATTGATTCAGCTATTTTTAAAGGTAGTACCTTTCATGATTAGTAACAGTGTTTTTTGCTGATTTGTTTTAAAGAAATGTGTGTCTTCTACCTTTTATATTTTGTTTCTGTTTACCTTTGGGAGATCTATTCAATTGCATTGAATTTAGTTTTGAAGTTTTCCAAGAAGATTTATTTGTTATTATTTACCTGGTCATTTTTTTCTACAACCATAAAAATTTACTAAAAGCTTATTAGAATTAGTATTAGTTGGAATTAGTATTAATATTAATATGCTGTTAGAAATTAATACAGAAGAATACTTATGTAAGGAAATGATATTTTTATTTAATAACAGTTTAAGAAAAGTTAACAAGTTAGCCAATTTATAAAACCAAAAACTGTATTCTCAGCTTCTAATTAGGTTACAGGGAGATGTTCAATATTTGAAGTTTCTCTTAATGTGAAAGATACATGGGATGAAATTAAATTGGCTAGTTTTTGAAAGAACTCTAAGTTTTTTGTGATTTTCAAGCCTAATATTTAGAAGTAAGACGGTAATTCATTCAAGTCAACAGTGGAGGTAAAAACATAACGCTCTTTCTCTTGAATCAAAGATGTTTATATAGCACGCTTGCTGCTGCAGTCTCTGTGGTTGCCACTGATTACATGTTTTTCACATCAAAGTCTTCAAAAAGAATATAGATACAAATGGGCTCAATAAATATTTATTGGGTAAAGGAATTCAAGAAGGTTTCTGGGTATGGACAAAACGTATATAAAATACTAATGACATCTTTGTTAGAGATTTTCTACTTCTGCCGAATACGGAGTAGTCTGGATCTTATCTTGAAATTATATGCACCAAGCAAATGATGGTATAGGGAATGCGTAGCACCAACATTTTAATTAAAATACAAAATGATAATCTGCACAGGAGTAGGGCTAAGCATTTGATGAGTTCCAATTATATTAGTAACAACATTTTCCTGTGATAACTAGATAACTGGGTAATTAAAAACATGTAATTAAAGCAAAGTAAAATCCTAATTTATAAAGGCAATGAAAACAAAAGAGCATAGTAAAACCCCATTAAAAAATAGTTACTACACCATTATGAATGGGACACATTTCTATCAATATCTTATAAAGCAAACAGAGGTCGAATCTTGCCATATGCTTACGTGTTAAAATACTAGACGACCGCATGATAAAGGAAGTCCAAAATCACATACACTGTACAAAATCCCCATGAGGTTTTTTTTGCCAGTCCAAAGCCACTGTGAATAAGCATAGGATGAAGCACAATGTTGGAAGATCATGAAGAATCGCTATATACAGCTTTAAAGATTGAGGTCAGAATCTAGCTTAGTAACTCAGAAACAATTAATTACAGAGTGCAGGTATATTATATTGTTGTTACCTGCATTGTTACTGCATTTCTCATCAGATGAAAGTAGGCAGAATCATTTCAACGTAGTCCAATTTGGAGCTCAGTATGAAGGATGGTGGGATTGAAGGTACCAAGGTTCTTCAAAGAGGAAAGGCCCAAATGCCCATTAACAACCATGAAGAAAAGGACTGGTTCAAGCTGGAGCCTTTATCCAAGAGTTTAAGGACAGATGGGAGTTGGATTTTGTCTGGTGGACTTGATTGCTTTAAAAATTAACTCTTCCTTGCATTATGAAGCAATGTGGATCCTATCATTAACACTTCTTTCTTTGTGGCTGACAAAAATTAACTCCTTAACCCACCACGGAGCTCGAAATGTCACAGTTCCCTTTAGAGTGACACAGATCTCCTCCTCCTCCTGGTAAAATCTTCTGCATGAATGAAGGTGGAGAGAGCCTTAGAGAGATGACTATCTGATGTCTCAGTGCTACTCCCAAAGTCATAGTTTTTCAGGCAAGGGCACAAGCAGTGCACGATCGCCTGGCGGATATAGCTATCGAAGATATAGTAAATGAAGGGGTTGACACAGCTGTTGGCAAATGCCAAGGGTCCACTCACCTCAATGCCAAACTGAAGAATGGCTGAGGGAGAATAGAGTTCTCGCTGCAACCCAGAGACAATGGCCAGGAGCTTGAAAGTATTGAAGGGCAGCCAGGAGACGAGAAAGGCTGCCACGACAATAAAGATGATCTTTATAGATTTCTTCAGCTTTTTGTTATGCTTTCCTGACTGCTGGTAATGGGCACACAGCTTCCTCGCAATGCAACAGTAGCAGGTCACAATGCTCAACAAAGGAACAAAAAAGGTGAAAATTAAGGCCACCAGGGACCATGTGAGTTTAATAGGAGTTGGTTTTTCCTCTGCACAGTATGGCTTATCACCAATCAGCGTGAGCTCCCTGGAGAGAAGAGTAGGCAACCCTAGCAGGCAGGAGATAAGCCAGATGCTGGCACAGACTGCATATGCACAATCTCTCCTTCTGAATTTCCTGGACACGACTGGCCACACAATGGCCAGGTAGCGGTCAACACTCATGCACGTGAGCAGGAAGACACTGCAGTGCATATTGACGGAGATCACGTAGGAGCTCCCTTTGCACAGGAAGGAGCCCGTCCTCCACAGTCCTAAAGATGCTTCTTTATCCACCCAGAGAGGCAGCGTGACAAGGAAAATGAAGTCGGAGGCAGCCATATTGATGATAAAGATGTCGATCAGTCTTCTGCTGCCGGGTTTGAAATGCAACGCTCCCATGAGAACAAGGTTCCCCAGCACTCCAGTCAGGAACACTGCTGTGTAGAAGACTGGAAGGAAGACGGAGGTGTAAGGAACATGGGGGCGTGGCTCCTTGATGTCAGGGTTTGGGCTTGTAGCATAGTAATAATCCAAATAAACTGAAGTACCTTCTGGGTCCATCACCAAAGTGCAAATGTTAAATCTGGTGAGCGTCCTCACCTATGAAGTTTTGGTGTAAATTTTAGAAACCTCAAGGGTGCTTCTTTTATACAGTGCCTGCCTTTCTCTCTTTTTTCTCCTCCCTTTAAAGATCTTGGACAAACATGAAAGCCGAGATTAAAAAATGCAGTTTCTACCAATCCTCAGAAAGGGCCCACGAGGAGCAGCGCTCTGATTGGTGTTGGTTCTTCGTTGTGGTTGTGGTTTTTTTATTTGCATTTGCCTGTGAATCTGAGGTGCTTTTTGAGTTCTTTTTCTCAAGATATTCAATTTATTCTTTAAGGCCAGTAATTAAGAAATGAATTAACTTGATTTTTTCACCTCCTTTAAAGACCTTCTTTGCTTTTGACAATGAAATTTATTTTGATCTAGCCTTCTGTTTCACATATAAGCTACCGTTCTACTTTTAAAAGTGTAAGGCAATGATGATGAAAATATGCTCTTTATTTACTTTGTTGGTGAAACAGGAAGAAAACTAGTCTTTCCTTGTGTAAAGAGTGAATGAAAAGTTTCCCAAATCATACCAGTCTACAACTAGGTCCAATAACATGCTTCCAATTAGGGCATGAGAGTCTCCCCATCTTGTTAGCTCTTTCATTTCACACATAATCAATGCTGTCGCATAAGTTTTTAAAAATCCCCCAAAGGCTGGGACCACGTTTTGTGGTCTTATTATTGTTATTTTACATTTTCCACTACAACTAGCATAGCATCTTGCACATAGTTGGTGCTTTGGAAATGGTAGTTTATTAGGGTCGATTCAGAAAATTCTTTTTGTTATCCAGTGTAACTAGCAGGAATGAATTGATTGAGGTCTAACTTCAGGTATTGTTGTTACTTGTGTAACTTACAAACACAGGTTTAAGAATCTCACATTGCTATTTTTACCCTCTTATCTGCTATTGTAATTCAACCAGTGAGGTTCTCTTTTGTTAAGAGTTAACATCATTGATCAGGAGATTTTCTTCCTACTATCCCTCAAATATGCGTCATCAGACTCTGGATCCCCTTTGATCTTCCCTTCATCGTATCACACCTCTGTAGCAGTGATTGTTTTAGCTTTTGAGCCTTGGCTTTCTGGTACCTCCACACAGGAGTGAACATCACTTTTGGAATTGCTTATCTGGCAACAGATATACCTATAAGTGACATCATAATGGAGCTGCCAGCAGAGATCCATTATGAATCTTCCTATAAAAAGGAAGATTTTTTGATACATTCAAAACACTTGGGGAACAGGCTAAAACAGAAAGAATTGTCACATTTTTCTCCCATATCTTTCCTTTTATATTATGATGACAATAGTAAACTATAACATATTTTGAAATGGACTCCATTGATTTTGGCTCTTTACTGGCCAAAGTGACTCGAGGCTTTCAGGTACTCTCCTTTTTTCTATAACCATAATAATTTACTAAAAGGTTATTAGAATTAGTATTAATATTAATATGTTGTTAGAAGTTAACACAGAAGAATACATATGTAAGGAAATGATATTTTTATTTAATAACAGTTTAAGAAAAATTAACAAGTTAGCCAATTTATAAAAACCAAAAACTGTATTTTCAGCTTCTAATTAGGTTACAGGGAGATGTTTTAAGCTGATTGAATCTTCAGAATTCCAGTTTCGGGTTGATATTACTATTCATAGAAAAATGTATGCTTGTAGATGAAAATACAGTTATTAAACAGTTGAAGTCCTTTCTTAAGCTTTTTTTTAAAAAAAACAATTTTGAAACAGAGTCTCACTTTGTCACCCAGGCTGGAGTGCAGTGGCTCAAACACAACTCACTGCCAGGCTCATGCAATCCTCCCACCTCAGCCTCCTGAGTAGCTAAGACTACAGGCATGCGCCACCATGCCCAACTAATTTTTGCATGTTTTGTAGAGACAGGGTTTTGCCATGTTGCCCAGGCTGGTCGGGAACTCCTGAGCTCAAGCAATCTGCCTGCCATGGCTTCCCCAAATGCTGGGATTACAGGTGTGGGCCACCAAGCCTGGCCCTGCCAAATTTTTATTTCTTTAGTAATTGGTATAATAAAAAGAATCATCCTGCCGGTTGTACTTCCTCCTTTTCTCTTTCTCCTGATATGGCTTCGTGTCACCTCAGTTTTAGGCAAGTGAGCTCAGGTCAGGGAAGGATGAAGGCTCCTCTGACCTGGGACAGTCCCAGAAGTCACTCTGGAGTTGATTTATGAGCCAGAGCTTGCCTTTTCTTGTGGCCCTGGCTGCTGTGTGCAATTCGTTTAATTTCATGGAGGGCATATTCCTTACTAAATATAGACTACAGATCAGAGAAACTAATTAACTGCTTTGACATTTCTGGGACAGAAATCTTTCCCACTGGGTAAGGTTTAATTATTTAATAGACTAATTCAGTTTGTAAAAAATTTGAAGTAGGACAATATTTACTTGAAAAGGGTTAATGAGGTAATATAGAATATTTAAACACATCATCTATATCTGTTTGCATGTACGTTAAAGTACTAATCATATATATTAGTAAAATCATAATTAAAATTACAGTTTAAGTGTACTGTAATTTTAATATTAGAATGTTGTACCCTGCAACCATAAGTTCTTTTGGCATTTGAGAAAATATGGTTGATTCTGGGTCTAACGTATTTTTATCTTTTTAAAAAAAAATTTTTTGATATGTCTCAAGAATTCAACAAAAAGGTTATTATAAAATGGAAAAAGCGTTCATGCTCATACTGCAGAGGAAAATATTTGGCTGCACATTCATTCTGTATCCCTTGCATGTTTTTTCAAGTTTCAAAAGTTGCTGGCTTGCTGATGTAAACTATCTCAAATCTGATTTCCTCAGCCAACTATTGAAGCCATTGTAGATGAAGTAGTTTGCTTTATCATATACGGCCACTTTGCAGTATGCTCTTTAATGGTAGAAAAGCTACAATGTGAGAATAGCCATTGTGGATCAACAGTACCTTGGGACCCAAATCAGCAAACAAATGGAATATTTTAAGCCAAAAACAGACACATAGCATAGGGCAGTTTTTTTAATATCTCTGAGTACAATGCTAGTGTGAAACAGAATCCACAATAAAGCTGGCTAAAGTGGGGTTGTAAATAAGCTGGTACAATGGTCAATTTTAGGACCTTGAGTGTTCTTTAAAATAAACGTGCAGATACTAACAATAAAATAGACCCCTACACATAGATCAAAACTCAAAAGCAACACTGAGTTCCATAAGCGTATGAAAAGTCTGTGTAAACAGAGTGATGGCAAAAAAAAAAAAGAATAAGATACAAATATTGGTAACTGAATGAGAGCATATATGCCACCTCTTTAGAATTTTTTTTCTCAGAAAATAACACTCAACTTTCCTACCTGACTCCTGGCAGAAATAACTACTTCTTCCTTTGTATTTCCTAAGAACTTTAAAAATACTGCTTACAAAGTACTTGTCTCATTTCACTCTGTTAGGTCTCTTTATATCTGACCCCTGGAGCTGATAATGAGCAACTATTCGTTATCTCTGGACTGGCCTCTGGTATACAGCAGTTACCTGACTAAAGGTCTTTTTGGGCTCTTAAAGCCATTGATTTGAACCTGTGGATGCCAGATCCTATTACCCAGATTAGAGTCAGCAGGAACACCTGCTAAACTGTAGATTGCCAAACCGTGTCCTAGATATATTCAGTCAGAATCACCGGGGAAGAAGTCTAGGACTTTATATTTAACAAGTATCCAAGGTGATTCTAAACAGACTAAAGTTTGGAATCACTGTTCTAATTAACATAAGTTAACCGACCTTCTATGTTATGCTTTGTTATTATTTGTTAGTATTTTGACTAATTTTTTAAAAAGACCTAAAAGTTACCTCAAAATTGGAAATTTGTGGAAGTATTTTAGTCTGGATAGCACAAAATTTTGGGAGTTAATTTAGATTTGTAGGCCTTACTTATTCTATGTTCCAATTCCTGAGTTATGTTCAGAACTGGCTCAGGTGTTGAGGCCAGAGAAAGGTTTTCTTTACTGAAATGCCTGCTCAGGTGAATCCATTATTACTTGCTGTGGATTGCAGCCTCTGCTTCACAGGCAGGCTGAAGATTTAATAATAGAGCCACCCCAGTTAGGCTTATTGGACTTACGACAACATTACTTCAGCCTCTTCCCCGTCATCCACATCAGGTGGAGATCAGATTATGCATATACAGCACAGAAGAAAGAAATCCCTGGATAAGTAGCCTTTGATTCACACATGCTCTGCTGATATGTCCCAGAATAAATGGCAAAGAGCATGGAGCAACTAACTGTTTCTCATTAATCTTATCAATTAAACAGTGTCATTATATATTCACTTGTTAGATACATTCTCTTGTCCATTTCTTAGCAGTATCGTAAAGTGCAAAGTCAAAGAGTTCAGTTTAAGAAAACTGATTATACTGTTTATACTCTAGGAGTTTATTATTATTTTAAAATTCTCAGTTACTTGAAGAATTTAGTAGTATATAATGTAATATCACATCATGCCAAATTAAGTGGCATATATTCACTATTATGAGGGCCCCTCATTTAATTTACTGGGTTATTCCCCTTGGTAACTAATACTTCCATAGATAGAAATGATGTTACTATTCTAGCAATATATACTTTAGGTTTCTTCATAATAGTAGATTTAATCTGAATTTAGGTTGTGCGTAACAAAAATTGAGTTTATTTATGTTGGTGTCCTTGACACCCAGCAAAGTGTCTGGCAAGCAATAGATGGTCAACAAATGATTGTAGATCTGGGATGAATCATGCTTGAATTTTGAGTTATTTCCAAGGAATAGGGACTTTTCACAAACTTCCTAGACAGTTTTCACTTTCTATTGAATCCTGGGATCTTTGTCACATCATAAACTAATATGAAGAGCTGTTTCTAAGTTAATGCAGCATATTTTTTGTCAACTTATCCTAATGTTTTCACTTAGCACATCTGGTTGAATCAGAAGCAACTTGAAAACAAACAAATGTGAAAAATATCACTGCCATGGCCTCATGATGGATAGTGATGAGAAGAGGACTCTCTCAATGAAGACTCTTTTTTAAGTTTATTAATAATTAAATTAATTGATAATTTCAGTTTCTTATCTGCAATAAAGATTATTTTTTGAAAAGATATTTTTGGGAGGCCCACAATTCATACCCGTAACTCTATACTACTAAAAGTCACTTAGAAGAAATCAAAAAAAGTTTCTTCCATAATTTTAGCCTTCCTAACGATTACTGCTAATCTTTGAAACAGGAAGGGCTGTTTTTCAGTATCTTTTCTAATCAGAATGCACATGGCATTCCTCCTTTTTCTTTGCAGTCTACATTTGCCACTATCTCTGCTTCTAGTACATTTCCTAGGCTTGAGGTATAGGATACATAAATTCTGCAATGAAACGCTATGTTGTGGATCTATGAAGAACCATATTTTGTAGTTGAATGATTCCTTCAGTAGAATTATAAATTGTAAAATTTTATAACTTCAAGTGATATTAATGATCATTAGCAAAACTATTTTACTAATGAGGACCCTGGGGTCCAGAAAGGGGTCATTAACCAAAGATCCATTGATAATTTTTGAATAAAGGATAATTTAAACTTAAAGTTTTCATTTACATATGGCTCATGCACTGTCTTTCAGAAGCATGGGCATCTGAAAATTATAGTTTTTACTATATGTGGCACTTTACAGGAATTGCCAAAATAGGGAGACAGTTTTAGATGTGTTTTTTTATTTGCCTTGACCTCGATCAAGTTCTGTTGTTGTTCTGCAGTGAATGGGTACAAGGAAATTCAAAGATAGGACACTTTTAAGAATAGTTTTTGGTTGGAACCCAGAACTTGCACATATTTCCTTTTTCTTCCTCTCTGAACTCCAAAGTTCTTAAGAAAAACAACCAGGGCAAAATTGCATTAGAAAAACATAATGTAGATATATCTTATAATGTAGATATAACTTATAATTCCTAAAAATATGCAATTAAAAATAATATTAAATGTATTGGGGAATTTGATATTGATGGAAATTCTAGAGTGAAGAATTGTTTCATAAGTACATAACACAAACAAGTTACGACATCTGAGTATCTAGATTTTCAGTTATTGGGTTAATTTTAAATGTGCTGTAACTATAATATGCCTTCCTGTTGAAACTAGAACCATCTTTAACAAGTTAAACTAGATGCCTCATTCAACTTT